AGGCGCCTAAGAAGGTGTCCTGACCATTACTCTAGTTGAATAGCCGGGGATTGGAACCAACAGAAGAAAAATATATGTATATGGCACTAGCGCATCAATGAAGTAATTTCTAAGGCACGGAATTTTAATAAAAAATAACCAAAAATGTCCAATTTGCAACGCACTATTCTCAAAAATCGTCTCCCACCTACTATTCCTGGTGGACGCATCGGTAGAAGGTATGGTTTAGTTGTAGACTTTAATAGTCGGTTGTTTCGAACACTAAACTTTTTTTCAGTGATTCATTCAAAAAGTCTCGAATTCGAGATTTCAAACCGACACTTTGGAGCGATTTCTTTGCTGAAAAGGAAGATGTAATTTTGGATCAAAATCGCACTTTTCGTGTTTACCGCACAAAGCTACCGCAAAAGGCAGGACCAGTTCTATTACTACTGCACGGCGGTGGATATTCTGGATTGACGTGGTCACATTTTTGCGTAATATCTCAAATCTCTAAATTAACTCCGTTAAAACTCATTATTGCTGCATCTATTTCAGGTGGAGATAACGCGTATTATTAATTGCCAGTGTCTTGCAGTCGATCTACGTGGTCATGGTGATACCAAAACAGAACAGGAAGACGATCTCTCTTCAGATACTCTAGCCCAGTAAGAAACACTTGTAATTATAGCGACATATGGATGATAAAACATGATTTTTGTAGAGATATAGGTGATCTTGTGCTAAAGCTTTACACGGAGGACATCCCACCCATTTATCTGGTCGGCCATTCAATGGGCGGCGCTATTGCTGTCCACATTGCACACAAGGCGCTCATCCCGAGCATAATTGGCATCACTGTAATTGATGTGGTTGAAGGTACCGCAATGGAGGCACTAGCTAGCATGCAAAGCTTCCTGCGTTCGCGTCCAACCCATTTTAAAAGTATACCGAATGCTATTGAATGGTGCATAAGAAGCGGTCAAATACGCAATGTGGATAGCGCGAAAGTCTCAATGCCGGGACAAATTATTAAGTAAAGTTTGAATCAGGGTAATTTTGGTAATGGCAGAAATTTCTTACACAATGTTATATTTGTATTTCTAGTTGCACAACGAAACAGTTAGCTACAAATGAGCTACCTCTGGCAGACGATGATATCGACGATGGTGCTGCAGGAAGTTGCTTTACACATCCATTCAGTATTTCCGAAGACGAAGAAATGGGCAACGATAACGGAACTGGCCCAACAACTTCTGTGGTCGCTACCACTGCCTCTGGCAGCGAGAATGACAGTAGTTCTGATTCTACAGATTTTAAAAAACCTTGTACTATACCTGATGATACCCACAAGAGGTAATTAAGACCCCTATTGCGAGTGTCGACTAGTAGTAGATAAACGACTGCTAGTCGATTATCGATTATCCGTGGTATTTTCAAAGTCTATTTCTTGTTAAATAAGTGCGTGTGAATAGTTTATAGTCGCCCATCCTTCTACAAACAAACAGTAGTAGAAAAATTTGCGATAAAAAACTATTCAGTCGCTTTTTGAACGAGAAATCGACAGGCACAATACCATGGAAAAGCGATAATCGAATGATAGTCGTTTGATTATAAAGACTGTGTTGTTGTTGTAACAACAGGGAAATTGCCCTAAGGGGTTTTAGGAAGTACTTCTAGGGCGTACTATCCCTGATTAGATATATGAATTTAGTAGTGATAGTATTGGCCAGATATGAATCTGGTTGCTTACGTTACGTAGACGCCGACTGTCATAGAAACGATCACGTAGGCTATCCCAATGGATACAGTGTGTTACGCGACAATGGCTCTCGTAAAAATTCCTAAATGTAGTGGAAGTAATTGTAAATCCGGCTCTTAATTATCTTTCTTCAACAGGTATACTTGGCGTATAGACTTGTCCAAATCGGAAAAATACTGGGTAGGCTGGTTTACCGGGTTGAGTGAAAAATTCTTAAATTTGCGTGTTCCGAAACAACTACTGCTGGCCAGCATTGATGGCTTGGATAAGGCTTTAACAGTAGGTCAAATGCAAGGTGAGTTTATGAATGTAAGACGAACATTTTCAAATAAACTATATAGCAACTGTCTTTAACAGGACGCTTTCAAATGCAAGTTCTGGCTCGATGTGGACACGCTGTCCATGAAGACCGTCCGTACGAGGTAGCCGAAGTAATAAGTGGCTACCTCATACGAAATCGGTTTGCTGAAGCAGTTGGTGAATTTCACTATCACTTACCAGCATGTTAAATATTTCTGAGTGCCAATAAGCAGTAAAAGAAAATTGGTTGAATTAAGATGCTAAAACTAAACCTCGAGGAATGCCGTCAAACACAAGATCTTAAGTATCTGGGTATATTCCACAAATATGCAGAAATTTTAAACGCAAAAATAATTATATTGAAGGAAATATTAATATTTAAAACTTGCATTACTTAATTGAAGAAATTTAAATAAATAATTTAACTCCATTGAACTAAGTCTGATCTTTAATAATTTCTTTGTATATTTGTATAACTTCAGCGTTTGATATGTACGTATGCATGTATGTATGTATATTGTGCTTAACTATTAAGAAAATGTCCACGCAGTTGCACTTCACCCTGCTCTTGTTGTGGTATGTAATTTCCCCGATCTTCGGGATGCAACATTTATGCAACACTGAGGCATATATGTATGTAATCTCGAAAAAGATCTGGCCCGGGTATTGAAAATCGTAATTTTCTTATAACATTCTTGAAATTGTATACTCTATTTTAAAACCATTGGTGATTACTAGGGACGCCTGGCATGCGGCGAAACGCCCCATGATTCAAAGCATCTCTTCGCATACCCACTGAACCTTATGAACAGACCCCATCGAGGCTGCACGCTTCTTGGGTCTACCGCTAGTAGAGCTTGACGACAACGATTGAGGGACTAACCGATCTGGGCGGGGTGGCCGTAGCCGCTACAACAATAACCAATGACGTTAAAACCTATAAAAAAGGCAAAATGATGAAGTGAAATAAACAGGAATAGGCACTAAAACTCACAAAAAGCCCCGAAAAATTAGTTATATTAACATTGAACCACAGGGTGAATCTTGGAAATCGCGGGCAACAATTTTCATTCCATTATCGCTAAAGCTAATTATGAAATGTACAATTTAAATGGGGATCATTGGAAACATTCAAATTTTCAGAAACAAGGATAATGTGCACGCCCTTTACTATTTTATCAACGGCCCTTAGTATCTCCAAACCTTTGACTGAAAAAAACATCTTTGAATTTTTCCAACACGCGCTTCTATAAGCCGCTTCTGAATCTTATCCAAAAATTGTAAACAAAATACTATTTTTTCACAGCGTAATTTTTGAATATGGACTTTTATTTTTAATGCATATTAAAACTTTTAAATCACTTAATTAAATCTGTATTATTTTGGAATCAAGGAAAGCTAAATTGTAATCACTCTTAGCAGAAAAAAGGAAAGCTCAGTACAATACTAGTCCAGAGCTATGCCCTTTAAACAGATTTTTTTATTTTTATTTTGTTACCAATGTTGGCGGCATATGGTTTTATTGTTAGTTTCAGGAATAAAACAAAACTCTAAATAAATGTAGGTGAGCATATTTACATATCTGCGATCGTTTGAAAAAGTAGCTTATGTCGAAAGGCTGGCTTTAGTATAATACGGCATTCCCTTTATTCTTTAAACAACAAGGAATTTTTGGATGAGACTTAACAAGAATATTGACTTGTTAGTATCGGAACTATTTCTTGCACGTTTATTTGCCAAAAGTTTTTCAACGACTTAGCGCCGGTGAGTCATTCGCAATCGTTTGCTGCGAATGCCGATTTATACTAAAGCCAACCTTTCGACATAAGCTACTTTTCCATACGAACACAGATATATAAAGTTTGTCGTCCGATCGACAAAGTATATGTATGTATTCCTTTATAAGATTTGTGAATATAATTTTGCATGCCATTCTTTAGTCCACGTATCGTATACCGCTCCTTTTAATCTGCATTTTCGCCTCTAACGCCTTTATGTGGCGCAACCGTTCGGTAATTTGTTCACGAACCTCGTTTCTAAAGCGCTTACCTTCGCCCAATTCTTCCATTTCCGCTAACCAGTTGGCCCGTTCATTGATTTGATCCAAAACTTAAATGTAGAAACATAAATTTCGGGTCACTCTTATATTGTAGGTAAATTTCATGTATGTATGTATGTATGTATGTATGTATATATAATAGTAAACTTTACGTTCATCGATGAGGTTCTCCTCAGTAGCATTAAAGTCGTTCCTAGATTTTGGTTTTCGCTTTGCTTTCAGTGACGTCTCTGCCAAGCGCATACCTGACATGGCCTCTTGCAGCAGCTTCTTTTCCTTCTCGGTGGGCATACGATTCGTGGGCTTCGGACGATAAGGAGGTAGCTTGTAGGCATCGCTAGCCAATATTTGTTCGAGACTCTTTCGCTTGGCCAGACGCGCATGCCGTAAAATATCAAGTGCCCCAGTTTCTGGATCCTTCGTGTTAAAACGTGGAGGTTCTGGTTTTGGCAATGGTTCTCCGTTGCGTAAGTGATAGTTAATTTTTTTTCGCATCATCATCGACATTTTTGACTCAGCCATAAGTGCTGTAAAATAGTAAATTAATTGAAATAACCAGACTAATCTTTTTCTCTTTTATATATGTATGTATGGAATGTTATTGCCCATTGAAATGTGAATGAGGAGCAGAGGATCAGTATGTACGGATATACATATGTATGTATGTACGTATGTATATAGTCAAAACAATGTCCCACCTGTCAACAAATCGGCGGTTTCCTTGCTATACTCGAACTTGGGTGTGTGGAAAAGTCCACCTTGAGGAATGCGTTCGCTCGGCCACAATACAGCTTTGTTGTCGGAGCTGTAGAGTCGCGCATTCGTCTCTGCAGCCGTCCCCTTTGGTCCTGTGGTTATTATGCTCTCACAAGGTTTACCTTCCATGGCTATAAATTTATTTATGTATGATTCTTATCACAGAGATCGAATAGCAACGGGTTGACAATTTTATAAAATCAATCTGCTCGTATACGTCTTCAAATTAGGAACAAGTTTATTTCCAAGTAGATATAGTATATACATATGTGAACGTGCCTCTACGTTGCATGTTCGTTGTTACTCGAGGATATATTGTGCTCCAGTAAAAAAATGTTTTCTGATTTCTATAGTAACCGTTAACGAGAAATTACTTACCTTTGTGTTAAGGTTCAATTAAGCATACTTAGCTTTGCATAAAGGCTGGGACTATCGGTATATTGGGATATCCTTTCGAATATTGGCGTACATATTCGGATAAAATCCGTATATTCTTTTTTTATTCGGATATCCGTTCATTTGATTATTCCGATAATCTAAATAGTATTTGAACGCATTCGTAAAATTCAAACAAAATTACAGAATCTATCAAACTGAAAACTATATAATAGAACACCTCATTAGAACACAAACATTTGTTATTTTATTGTTAATTTTAAGATTCGAAAATCCCGATATTCGGTTAATATCCCTTGAATTATTAATCAGATATTCGATTATCCGGCTAGTCAAAAAATCCGGTTAGAACTCCCAACCCTATTTTGAATTGCGTAGCCAAACGTCGTTTGAAAACATGCTATGCTACGCTAAGTATGCATAACCGAGCCTTGACACTCCATTCGAATGTAAACGAACGCCGTGCAATTCTATGGTTTCGGTTTGTTAGATTAGTATAATTTTTCGGCAGATATTTGGCGGCGTGTGAATATAAGGTTGGTCTGACATTTTTCCAAGTCAAGTAAAGTTAACTATGCCTAACTGAGCCTATAACTCTTAGATTATTGCTTGCAACTAAGACGTTAATCAACGTGGGTTTAACGGTTTGAAAACGAGACCAAAGACGGGTTAAAAAAAAATTTTATTTAGGTATTATTAACGTTTATTTCTGCTCAAATTTGTTATTGTACTACACAAAGATACAAGATTCGTTTTTCGTTAGTTATTTATGAATTCTCTTATGCGTCTAATATACAGGTTCAAAAATAAATATGTAAATCATTAACAAATGAACTAACATCGCATACCTGAATGAATTATTTTCTTGTTTACTAGTCAACACAAATGCTTAATTTTTTTAAATTACATAATTAGACGGCCTAGCATGGGTATTATTCGCTCTTTGCTCTGCTTTCCGTTTCCCCCATATGTCACAAACAAAAAACACAAATTAATATCGTATTTTTAGTTTAAATGAATGCATCGATCGATAAAACTGGATTAGAAATTAGAATTGATTTAAAAATTTTCCAAATGGGTAAGCTATAGAATAAATTTGTTCTAGCATATAAAAAATAATAAAATTTTACTACAGTGCGAACAGGCTGCGCAAGTCTTCCGGCCACGTTTTGTCCCATGCATCGAACTCAAATCAATTGGTTCCAATGCAGAGCTGTGTCTAATAGCGTGTTTAAGCAAATGATGGAAAAGTATTTTAAATTAACAACAAATTTTGCATTATATTTACAAAAACTACGACTTTCCTATTGCTTTGCGTAGAGGCCGATGCAAATAAGAGTAGCGGACTATAGGTTGATCGTTGTGTGCTGATCGTGGTCATAATTGTTTACGTGTAACAAACACTTAAAAGGTATACATACATATATAGGTATATATATGTACACACATATATATATACATATATATATATATAAATACATATATATACACAATTACAAATATATAGATAAAATTACAATACAATATATTAAAATAAGCATAATGTTAAAATATTTGATTTTACAAATAAAATATATAAAGAGCAGCCGTATGCTTACAAACACACATACAAACGTGTCCAATGCGTTTGCGCCCATCTTGCGTAGCATCTGCTTCCTTGAGCATCAACTCACTAATCCACTTGATCACAAAACGAACTTCACTACATGGCATGACGAAAACACCTCCCCCAACTATTATGCTGAGATCGTTCCCAGGACAGTCAGACCTACATACGTAACTGGAACGAACCAGATTTATATTTGGCCAAGGACTGCCACTCCAGCAGTATTCCCACACACTTTCTGGCGAGTTCGTATGCTCTTACAACAACAAGATTATGCCGAAATGCTACGCAAGGGGCTTACAAAAAGGGTCTATACGACTATATATATGTAATTTCAGCTTAGCTATGTTAAATATTATTTAGTATATATAGTTGACATCTTAAATCGATACATGCATTCATGCGTATTATAAGATATAAGTTCAGCTTTACACAGTGTGCCTTGATTAGTCGAAATTTCTCATTCCTGCTAAATACCTTAGTAAAATATTTAAGTATTTTACTACTAAAATTCTAAATATGTTGCATTATTTTTTTAGTTAAAATTAAATTCAGCAATTACGTTCCGTACGAGAGCGGCGCCTGTCATTGTGATGAGTTTTATCCAGGTAATAATCGGCTCTCATTATTCATTCAATTGAATTAGTGTCAACAGTTGGCCATCAGAGTTTTCAGGGGCATTCAAACGTTTATTCCTAGCAACAGAAAGTAATTTTAGTCAGTCTCATTGTCGCGATGCATTTTGTAATTACTTCTATCTTGATTAGAACATGCTTTCTGTTTCCAGGCTTCCTTATCCAACGGTAGAATGGATTTACTAGGAAATTAAACAAAAACAATTCACATTTGTTCAATGATTAGACCTATGACCCCAAAAATTCGCTGAAATTGGTTTGTGTATACCTTTGAAAGGTTTAGTCTGATTACGTCACTTCTCAAAATGTTAGAATAGAGTAAAGATCTCTTCGAAATTCGAAAAATTCTCCTGAATAATTAAAGAAACAAAGAGAACAAAAAAGCGGAATCAATTACAATTCGGAAAATATACATCTAACCACAAAATCAGGTATACCACAACTACTTATGACGCTTACGTCGTTGACTAACTAATGGTATGTTTGATTTAACTGGGTTTCCACTAATTAACTAGCTAAATCCATTTAACAAGTTAAATAGTGGCAATATTCTAAATACTTGTATATAATCAACTTCGTCTAGGTTAGTAGTTACAATTTGTCTAACAGAGGAAAGTAAAGTTAATGAAAGACAGAAACCAAAAATATCTACAACAAGTACCAAGTATCAAACAAAATGCAACCATTATCTGCGTTGAACGAAAAAAAAAAATTCATCAAATATAACCAAAGGAATTAACAATCCTAGTTGATTGCCTGTTCGGTCATTTGCAAGCAGAGCGTTTCTAGTTGATCTAAACTATTAATGTCGTTCATATTTACAGCAGCAGAATTGGACAAGGAACCTTTGGTAGGGAATTTATCTTTCAGCGACATATTTATATTATTTAACAGTGGCATTGTTGCAGGGGTTGCTAGAGACGAACGTTGGTTGCCGCTATGTGGCTCGATGAATTGGGTCGGTAAATTGCTACAACTATTGGCATTATTGACACTACAACAGTTGGTTTTACTACAATTGTTGCTACCGTTAGCGTTAACATTGCACAGACAGTTCAATAAGTTGCTATTTCGACAGCTGTTGCCAACAGCTGCGGCTGCAGCGGCTAATAGCTGCAACTGTTGCTGCTGCTGTTGGCAAAGTAAATTATTATTTAGCATGCTACTGTTGTTATTTATTAGATGTGAGTGTTGTTGAGGTTGTTGTTGTGGGCCGATCACACCTCCAAGTGCAAGTTCGTCGGTACTAACCATTACAGCTGATGTCATTGTCTGCTTTGTTTGTTGTTGGTGTTGTGCTTGCAGTATATTTGGTTTTTGCTTTGACGAGTCGCCATTGCCGGCGGCTACATTTCCAACACTTGGGGCAAACGTAGATGGCAAATTAACATTATTACTGCTTTGATTAGTGATCGTTGTTGTAAGACTAGTACGGCGTAGTTGGCTTTCGGTGGACGTTGGCACTACAGGTACAATGCCTTGACCTGGTTTAAAGGTCATTTTTTGGGCTTGCTGTGGTCCTCCAGACACCACTATTAAATTATTAAGGGATCGCCGATGATGTTGTTGGGGTTGCTGCTGCTGTTGGTGTGAAGGTAGCGCCGGAAAATGAGCATGGTGTGACAGAACTGCAGGTTGCATCTGTTGTTGTTGTTGTTGCGATAATTGTGAATGATGATTTTGATGTTGCTGCTTTCCCTGCTGATGTTGGTTGCTCATGAAATTGGGATATGACGAACTTTTGTATTGCTGCTGCGATACCCCGTTATTGCCGCTGTTATTAGCACCAACGTTTAGGTGAGCGACCTTTTCGAAATCAGCCGGTTGAGCATGAATGCCATGGTGCTGTTGCTGCTGCGTTGTAGGTACGCCGTTGATTGAGAAGTTTAGCGTATCATTCGAATTTTTTCTATGGTTGATGCGGTCATTGCTTCCATTTTTTACGTCACATTTGCGCGATTTACCACCCCACCTGTGTCATTTGTGAATATACAAAATTAAAGACTCAAGAATGTATACAATTATCAAAAGAATTCACTATAAATTTACCTAGGCTTATTTAAATTTCCTACACTTCCATTTTTGACGTGGTGCGCTTTGTGCCCAATCGACATTTTTAGCTTTGACAGTTTGAACTTTAATTCCTTAAGCTGGGTGGATTGGTTCACAAAAGCCTCGTTGTGTATGGAACGGTCAAGAACCCACATCAGTACGTTAATGTTTTCCTCGTCCTGCGACGCGCCAGTGTCGTGTTGAATCATAGAGCTCACTGCAAAACAAAGGCATGTTCATGTATAAATTCCAAAGACCGTACCAGTTATGATCTCTTCAATAGAAGTATTAATTTAGCCATTAAAATTAGAGCCATATTTTTATCATACTTTCATCGGTACTTCATGATTTAATTAATTTTTAAATTAGTTATTTAGAAATGTTAATTTTTTCAAACAAAAATAATCGCATTTAGTAGTTTTTTTTTCGATAAAAAGAAAATCGTTTGGAAACTTAAAATTTTTTCGATGAAATAAATCGTTAATTTGGCTTTTTATTTTTAGGACCCAATATACTGGTTGTTTTATTTTTAGATCATAAGAGATTTATCTCCAAAAAATATAAGCCTCAAATAAAGCAGTCGCGATTCCAGAGAAATTCAAAATGTCATCTCTTACCTATATCAACCACTTTCAGAAAGCCGAGCGCTACATTGTCTTCGTTTGCTCCACTACTAAAAGCTTCAACAGGTTTCATGGGAGAGAGTACCATGTTGGCTAAATCCTCTACAGCCGCTTGTATTTTCGTTTGACCATTTCGCAAATCCTGCTCCAGTTTGCTTAAGTGAGGCGAGCGGTCCTTGAGTTTTTCTATGCAGAGTGCTAGCTTGTGCGAAGCGCCTTTGGTGACGCCTAAACCTTGCAAATACTCTTCAGTGATACAAAGCATATCTTCATATGTCATATTCTTGAAGAGATCAATGTACTTATGTAAGCGCAAAGACTTCAACCACAAGCCAATATTTGACATGCCGACATTTCGTGTTTGAAATTTTATATAACCGGGCTTGAAATCATCGAGGCGTGTATCTGAACCACTATTGGCTAAAACACCACGCTGATGTTCTATGGAAAGCGAGAAACTTCTAGGCTTATTTGCAAACTGTGCCAAATTTTCAGTGGAATTTGAACAGTTGTCATTGACTGTAATCACCGAAGAATTAGAAGACGACGAAGATGTGGATATTGCTTGTGTAGTAAGGCTATTAGAGCGTCGAGTTTTAAGTGCACCCAGTTTTCCATCTAAGCTCCAGCGAGTCACATCCATCTGTTCATAATTACCTGCCGTCATCGAAGTAAATTCCATTTGGGACTGCAATAGTTTGAAATAATATCATTAGTCCAACAATTACATACATGCACTTTTTAAATTTACCTTTTGCTGTAATTGATTGTTTGCATTTTGTTCATGGCCTGCAGGCACTGAAGCACCATTTTTGCATTCTTCGCTAACGTTGATGGTCACGTGAGGCTCAAAGTCGACGATTTCGGTGCCATTCTTGGAAAAGGATGTATCATGGTCATCGTTGTTGGGATTATTGGCACTGGTGCTGGCACATAGGCTTGTGTCATTGGCACCACTGCTCACGATGTTTATCATTGGCGTATTATTGCTGTTGCCAAAAAGGCCAGGTATTGTAGTGCCAGCAGTTGCGGCGGCTGCTGCAGCCACTCCATTTACCAATGATGATTCCTCTGGATTTGTGTCACACCCAATGGTTGCGATCCCCAAAGACAAGCCCATCTTGTTTTGACTAGATCCTAATTCGTTTAGATTAATACCATTGAAATTATCACAGAGTTGGTCAGTAATGCTACTGTTTCGCCGATTACTACAACTGCTGCCGCTACTACTTGAGCTTATACCGCTCAAATTATTTAAGCAACTGTTTGAGAACCCACTATCTCTCCGCGGAAAGCTGGACCAGTCCGGGTGTGACTTTGGCTGTGGAAGCGGAGTTTGTTGCACTAAGTGGTGCTGTTTGCTTGGCGGAGCAATGGTTTGCCAATCAATGCTCCTTGGCATTGTATGCGAAGTCGATATGTGCCCTGCTGCCGAACTGCCCGATGATGACATCGAATTGTTCGACATAGATGACGACGATGTTATTGAGGAAACTGAAGCATCCGACCCAGCAGCTATGCTCTGGTTGATGGTATAGTTGTTGGGGTTTTTCGGATCCGTCAACTTATCGGTAGCATGCAAATGATCTTCCAGATGTCGCAACCAAACACTGAGCGAGCTAAAAATTTAATTTAAAAAAAATACTCATTATCTATTCTAAATAAATATCTATGAAATATAAGCATTACCGGCGGTCTTCGTTACTTATAGCGGGGTGGATGAGTAAGTACGAAAATATTTGTTGTACCAACTCTGTGGGGACCCGCTGATTCATAGTGTCCCTCACTGCTGCTGGAACGAGAGCCAAATAAGCTAACTTGGCGTCATCGTTTCCCGGTTTCAATAGCGGTAACATGTTCAAAACTTCGCACAGTATCTCCTTCTTTTTCTCGTATAATTTGCGTTCATCGCAGTTTGTGATTTGAAAATCAGAACCATAGCATGGCATGGATTCCTTGTCCAAAGAGCCCGATGTCAGAGCGTCCACGGCGTCGTTCAAGTGCAACGTCCTATAGGCGTTTAATAGATTTTGCAAATACGATGGATTGTTCGCATTTATGTCGATGATAACACTACTTAGGTTAGAATCTGAGCCTAAGCTTTGCGTCAGGGCGTGGTCAATAGCGTATTGTAAGAATTTTAAACTAGGATACCTCAGGCGCTTCAGCAGGGCATATATAACAACTGTTCGTTCGCAATCATTCCATCCTTCAAAAAACCTCGTCACAGTAGTAACCTGTTCACTAAATGTAATTGGACTCTGATTTCGGGCAAAGTCAAATGTTTTAGGAGTTTGGTCATTGGTTCCACACATGTTCTGGCTATTGCCACTATTATCTCCAGTGGTATACTTCATGTCGGTTTTGATATTTCGTATATTCTTATGATGTAAATTTCCCTACAAATCAACCCGCAAGTTACCAAAAAAAGAATTCAATTAAATACATATGTACATGTATGTATGTATGTATGTATGTACATTTCGTCCCATTTCTGCGAAAATTACAACTTATCACAAAAACTTATTATGGGTACTAGCGTTAGGAGAACCAGAAATATTAAGTAAAAAATTCGTTTATTGTATCCTAGGGGAAGAAATAAGCATTTTTAATACTCTATACTGACCCTATTGCAGATAAGAGGTTAACACAGAAATTGGACAATATGTACATATGTACTTTGTTTTGTAAATATAAACTAATGTATGTTTTTGTTTTTAAACATTAATTTCATCAAACTTACTGTACAGCGAGTTTACAGA